TCATCACTATTCTAACTAGTGAGCCATCATCACTATCCTAACTAGTGAGCCATCATCACTATCCTAACTAGTGAGCCATCATCACTATTCTAACTAGTGAGCCATCATCACTATTCTAACTAGTGAGCCATCATCACTATTCTAACTAGTGAGCCATCATCACTATCCTAACTAGTGAGCCATCATCACTATCCTAACTAGTGAGCCATCATCACTATTCTAACTAGTGAGCCATCATCACTATTCTAACTACTGAGCCAGGAAACTAACTCCACGTAAAACCTAAGAGGGCTTGAAAAGGAATTCTAGACACAAATATAGAGTTTAACACAGCTTTTTGCTGTTTGCTGGCGGGTGCCACAGAGAAATTTTCCTGATTCAGCAGCCATAGCAGGAAAATAGCTGTGCAGTTTTAAAATATGGCTTCCTGGGCTGTGCCACCTGGGCAAACTTTAGCTATAAAGCATTTTAATGACATTGTGGGCCCCAGGTGTTTCTGTGTCCACTAGGGTTGGAAGAAAAGTGGCTGAGACCATGCTTGTGACTCAGCGCTCCCTGCCTGGGCAGTCAGCGGAATCAGGTTGACTAGGCATGCACAAGCAGGAGAGCATGGCAGATTTCTGCTGCCATACAGAGAGATGTTTCCAGGCTGCGCAGTGCTCTGCCTGGCAGATTTGGCTGTAACTCAGATAAAAAAGCTCATTCTCAGAGTTAAAGTGCTGAGTGTAGCTCCTTCCTGGAGGCCCCAGAGCTAGCAGAAATGGTACATCCAGCATTTTGAAATTGAAGAGAGGTGGAGCCAACATCTAGAACAGCCCGCCACTCTGAGGCTCAGAGGCACAACTGACTCAGGGGCACAGGTGGCTCTGCCATGTTGGACTGGGCAAGGCAAGCAGGCAGTAAGTGCATTTGACCTGGGATTGTTGCAGCAGCTTAGATTCTTAAGAGCTTAGCATTTTAAAAGCTCTTCAAGACAGTAGAGAATTAAAGACAATGCAATAGGACAGATTCAGACATAAAAGACCTCTAAATGGGTCATACTGTTAGATAAATGTACATAGGCTTGGGAGAGAGAAAAAAAGAGTATAAAGCTAATGCCTTAAGAAAAACAGGTAAAGTCTTTAAAGAGACAGAGTACAGATAGTTATAGATTAAAAGAAATAAAAATAAGCCATGTAAAAATGGAAAATACACAGAGAGTCGGGGTTATGTTTATTGTGTTTTCTTTGAATTTTTTTGACTGTGAAGGAACTAAATACAGAGAGACATTTCATTCTGTTGTGTGCTAAGCTAAACCAGCATGTATGTTCTAAAGGTATCATGACTTCCAAATTTGGGTCTAAGGATATGATGCTTTGGAAAAGAGGTTCTTCTTTTGTTTTCACAGAAGATGAGACCCTGTGGATTTCTTCTAGACCAATATGGTATGATAGACCACGCCTTCCTGAAAGGTTTCTGTAAACACCCTCAAAAAATTACTTCATTCAACTACAGACTGAGATGAACCTAGCACATAGGATACACCATAAAGGACCTGATTATCAGTGCCCCCATATACCATGAAGCAGTTTGGAGAGAAAAAACTTCACCCATATTCCTAAATATTGTTTATAAATGCTCTTTTACATTTAAAGGTGGATATGATATAAATATGGATAATTTGCATTGATATGGATTTGCTTTATTGATATACATTTAAGGTCAATTTTGTTTATGTATATGTATTTCTGATCTTGATTAAGGTATTGTGATTGTGTAGTTCATTTAAAAATGTAATGTATAATTAGGAAATATAGGTTGTTAATGGATAATCATTGATAATAGTCAAGCTTGTAGTCATGTTAGTTAGATTTTCTAGATATATAGAGATATATTTCAGTTAGATAGGCATTCTTCATATCTTTCAAAGACTACAGAATATGGCATTTAATGTTTTAATAATTTAGGGCTTTTCATGACAATGAGACATGTCTGCTCCTGGCAGCACCAATCTACTTCAAGAGGAAGATGGGCATCGAAGAGTTTCCTTATGGAGTTGGTTAGCCATTTGGGCAAGAAACTGCTCTTGCCTGGACTGTTGCATAAAGAACCTGCAGAGAGAGGATTGCTGAACTTGCCTAAAGGTGAGATGGTCCTTCTGGGTTTCTGCTTCATGAAAGAGTCTGTGAGACATTCTGCAGGATACAGAAGAAAGTGACTGAACTGTGTTTGAATTTTCCTGCTCATGGAAATGTCTGCTGGATACTAGGCTGAAGATGGGTGCCCCAACGGTACAGAGGAACTTTGGGTGATTGTCCAGGCAGCAAGATGTCTCTGTCATTTCTAGAGTTTTGGGAATTGTTTACTTCCGGTTTACATAAGTAATATTATATCCTTCTGGATGGAGTCTTTGATGGAGTTGAAGAATAAATAGTTATAGCTTTCCTTTGTTACGATAAAAGATAAATTATATCTAAATATTGTAACTGTAATTCTTGCTCAATAACTGTTTTGTTATATGTAATTTTACTATGTTAAAGTTAAAGCCTTCTTTTGTGTTTAAAGAGAAAAGGGGAAATGGTGTAGGAGTGTCTTCTTTCTATGTTGAATAAAGAAAACTGCCTTGACACTTTGAAAGGGCAGCCCTTAGGTGGGCGGAGTAGACAGAACAGAATGCTGTGAAGAAGAAAAGTGTAGCAGATGCCATGAATCTCTTGCCTGAGATGGATGTAGGTTAGAATCTTACCATTAAGCCACAGTCAAGTGGTGATACACAGATTTAATAGATATGGGTTAATCAAAATGTGAGAGTTAGCCAATAAGAGGATAGAGATAATTGGCCAGGAAGTGTTCAATTAATACAATTTCCATGTGGTTATTTCAGGGGCTAAGCTAGCCGGGCAGCTGGACACAGCCCACTTCTTCTTACTACAGTTGTCTTATTGATTCTTTGTGTTGCTTTCTTTGCTTCTATTTTATTGACTTTAGGCATCCATTTGATTATTTCCACTTGTCTATTCCTCCTAAATAAGTTTGCTTTTTTGTTCTAGACTGTTCAGTTGTTCTGTTAATACACTAGTGTGGAATGTCACTAGTATCTTCATGAATTCATTTACTGCTATGAACCTTTTTCTTATCATAATTTTCATCTGTCCCATAAGTTTGGGTATGTTGTGCGATCATTTTCATTGAATTTTAGGAAGTCTTTAGTTTCTTTCTTTATTTCCTCTTTTACCCAGTGGTGATTCAGTTGAGCATTGTTCAATTTTCATGAGTTTATGGGATTTTCTGGAATTAGTGTTATGGAATTGTAACCTAAGCCATGGTGAGCCAATAAAATACAGGGATTTATTCCAATTATTTATTTATTTATTTATTTTTGGTTTTTCGAAACAGGGTTTCTCTGTAGCTTTGGTGCCAGTCCCGGAACTAGCTCTTGTAGACCAGGCTGGCCTCGAACTCCCAGAGATCTGCCTGCCTCTGCCTCCCGAGTGCTGGGATTAAAGGCATGCGCCACCACCGCCCAGCTTCCAATTTTTTAAATATCTGTTGATGTTTGTTTTGTTACCAAGTATGTGGCCAATTTTAGAGAAGGTTACATGGGGTGCTGAGAAAAAAGGTATATACTTTTGTGTTTGGGAGATGTGTATTAGGCCCATTTGAATCATAATGTGCTAGTTCTTTTATTTCTCTATTAAGTTTCTGTCTGGCAGACCTGTCCAGTGGTGTGAGTGGGGGTATTGAAGTTTCCCAGTATTAGTGTGTCGGGCTTGATATGTGATGTAAGCTTTAGTAATGTTTCTTTTACATGTTTGTATTTGGAGCATAGATGTTCAGAAGTGAGACTTCATCTTAATGCATTTTTCCTGTGATGAATATGAAATGACCTTCATCTCTTTTGATTACTTTTAGTTTAAAGTCTATATTGTTAGATATTAGGATAGCTAGACCAAGTACAGGCAGTATCATGTCTCTGGTAATAGCTGCTCTAGATGTCAGTGGGGTTGATGCTGAGTCTCTGGTGATTGGATAGTTTCTGGAGACCTCTATTGACACCATGGTTCATGGCAGGTGGTGATGCTGTTTCCTGACATGGCAAGCTTTGAACCTACCCTCTTGTTTTAAGCAAGAAATTTGTTCTCTTATTTAGTAATAATTATCAACATGTTATAGACTAAAATCACCCATGGAATTAAAAATAATTCCATGTTTGAGTGTAGTTTAATGGTAGAATGTTCAACCTGTCATGAATGTGGCTCTAGGTTTCATCCTTAACACTGAGGAAGAAAGCATAATAACTAAGACTCCATCAACACCAATTTTAAGACATTGAGTCTGCGCTGGAGAAAAACGCTGGATACTTAAACATTATGAGGGGTTCTAATGCATGGTCATCAGGTGGGATCTCTGCCTCCTAAGGAGTGGTTCATGGGCCAGAAGCTCAGTATCTGCCTCAGTCGTCCAATGAGCTATCCAGACTCCAGAGATAGGGAGTACTGTCTTGTCTCCAGCAGAGGAACAAAAGAAGTGTGGTTGTATCTAAATCTGGTGCGTTCAGGATCAGAAGAAGGCATGGGAAGTCCTGGAACTGGAGTTACAGATGGATGGGAGCTACAATGTGAATGCTGGTAATAAACCAGAGTTTTTTTAAGAGCCATCTTTCCAGCCCTTAGGTTTTAAAAAATTACATTTTATTTATGCATGTGTATATGCAGACACTCTTGTGACACCCAGGTAGAGAGCAAAGGACAAATTTTGGAACATGTTTTCTTCTTCCATCATATGGTTGTTGGTAATTGGACTCCGGTCATCAGGTTTGGTAGCAAGTACAGTTAGTTCCTGAGCCATATTGTTAGTCCATTGTTTTACTGTTGTTATGAGTCATTCCCACCCTAGTCTCAAATGTTAACTGGAGAACTGGTCTTTTATATTGTACAATATTTTAAAATATCAACCACAACAATACCATGTAATAAAATCCATTTTTATTTTCATTAGTGAATTTAACAAACTATAACATGGCAGAAATGAACAACTAACAATTGGCAGATGAGGGCCTCAGACATCATGGCAGAAGGTCATGGGGCAGTTATGTTCTTCTTTGTTCACTCTGGGTTTGTTGGGTTTTCCCTCTGAAAGTAGATGAGATCATTTTTATGTAATGGCTCTCAAGGTTTGTTCCCATCTCTATCTCAAGTATTTAGATGATCAAAGCAAGCCTGGCCTCTTATTCTTGTGAAATCACAACTATATGAGCACCACAGAATAAATTCAATTTTGATCAAATATATATTGGTCAATTCTGAAACGTACAAGGCAGCAGAGATGGAAAACAAACAATTAGTAGACAATACTCTTAGAAGTCATGGCAGGGGGTCTTGTGATAATTACCTGTCCCTCTTCATTGGTGGGTGTGGTAGATGCTGTGCCTGCAAGACAGAGAGTTAATTATTCTTGGGGGGAGTCTTTTATTTTGTGACCGAGGTGTTTTTATTACCTTCTAGATATTTCTGTCTGGATGTACCATTGGTAAAATCAAGCTGTCTTCATGGAAATTGACCCTCATGTGCCCCATAGTGACTCAAGGAAACATTTAGATCGTCTTTTACTGCCCTGATGATTTTCACAGTAAGCTCAGATGAGGGATGCCACTTAATTGCCTGTAGCTTCCAGACACACTGAAGGATGGTTTCTCATGCTTTTCTATCCCCCCAAGCAGTAAGCCCTGTCCTACACTTTGTTAGAACTCTGCTCCTCTATGACCCACCTCAGTGAAGACTATTTCATGACACAGATTTTAATCTGAAACCCTGAAATAGCCATCCCACCCCTTAGCTCCTGCATCATTTCCTGCAGACTCCTCTCCCCACAGTAGTAACTGCAGGTAGGGTATGAAGGTGTAGTCTTGCACTGGCCATGCTCAGCCAATACTCAATGAGAAGACTTTTTTGTTTTATTGTGAGGATAAAACAGGGAAAGACCATCTGAGATATATGACAGAAAGATTCATATACACTATGTCAAAAGAAATAGATTCAGCTGCCAAGGAAGCCTTCTGATTTTCCCAATTCAGAGGGCTGATATAAATGAAGAACAAAGACCTTATTTCAAAATTATTTCTCTTCTTTTACTTTTATTTTTGGGTAGATGGAGTTGAGGCAGGCCTCACTCTGTAACCTGTCCTGGAACTCACTACAGAGTCTAAGCCATCCTTGATTTCTGAGCAATCCCTCTGAGAAAAAGAGTAAGTCAGTCTATTGGTACATCATATCTCCAACAGGATAAAATTTCATAAATTTTCTCAAATGTTTGTTTCTGCTGTTATCTACAGATACATAATGCAAATGGTCTTTTTTTTTTTTTGTAGTCCCAGTTCAATTGAAAATGAAAGTTGCCTTTGGAGTTGGAACGTGGTTGTCTCCTTCTCTAAATGGAAGCCTATTTGTTAAACAAAATTAGAATCTCTGCCTCAGGTCAGAAGAGCCACCTGATTTAGGACACAAAGAAAACCAAAATTTAGGGACTATTTTTATCACCACTAACCTCATAATTCTTTGGTTTTATTTTGACTTGTTAAGAGCTTTTCTTAAGGTACAAATATTATATCATAATTTATAAGATTAATGTATATTTTAAATTTTTGTCAAGATATTAATGGACATATAGAATAATAACTAATTCTAGAAACAGGCTTTATCTAGCCTCCTGTACATGGTTTTGTGTGAGAGTCTCTATCAGGAAACTAGGAATTAAGTTTTTGAACTCTAGATGTATATAACAAAGTATGGATGGTCTTTTCAACTATTTGAGATCTGCTGCATATGACATTTAAAATGTTTAAACTTTCTGCAGAGAACCAAGACCATGCCTACCAACTACCTTTGAAGTCTCCCAAAGAGGATGGGCCCCCACAATGACAATTCCACCAGGACTATGATAACACCATTAAGCTGAAAAACACCACCTGAAGATCGGCTTTGGACTACAAACTGCTCAGGATCATTTTGACATGGCCAACTGAGATGATCCAGCCTAAAAACTGCCCTAGCCACAACTTCAAATAAAGTCTGTACTTTCCCACTCTGGAGAGTCTGAACAACAAATGATAGGGCTTCCTTTCCCCAGACTTGAAAAGTAACCCATTTTTTTATTCAGGATTCTCTAAAGATTCCATTGCCCTCACACAGCAGGAAGTAAAACAAAGAGCACGATGCCCACATTCGCAAGAGGTGGGGGTGTGTCATTTTCTTCATTGGGTTATGGATGTTTGTCATAGTTTGTTGTGAATGATTAGAAGTTGTTATTGGTGATGGTCAAGAAAGAAGTTGAACTAAGGAGATTACATTCAGAGTTCCTGGTTTGAAAAGAAAAAAGGGGATATAGATATAATAGAATAAGGGTAGACAGGATAGCCAAAACAATATTATACAATAAAGGATCGTTGGGAGGCATTACCATCCCCGACTTCAAACTCTATTACAGAGCCACAGTATTGAAAACAGCTTGGTATTGGCATAAAAACAGAGAAGTCGACCAATGGAATTGAGTAGAAGACCCTGACATTAACCCACAAACCTATGAACACCTGATTTTCAATAAAGGAGTTAAAAGTATACAATGGAAAAAAGAGAGCATCTTCAACAAATTGTGCTGGCAAAACTGGATGTCAACCTGTAGAAGAATGAAAATAGATCCATATCTATCACCATGCACAAAACTCAAGTCCAAATGGATTAAAGACCTCAATATCAGTCCGAACACACTGAACTGATAGAAGAGAAGGTGGGAAGTACTCTACAACAGATGGGCACAGGAGACCACTTCCTACATATAACCCCAGCAGCACAGACACTAAGGGCCTCATTGAATAAACGAGACCTCCTGAGACTGAGAAACTTCTGTAAAGCAAAGGACACTTTCACTAAGACAGAAAGGCAACCCACTGACTGGGAGAAGATCTTCACCAACCCCGCAACTGACAAAGGTCTGATCTCCAAAATATATAAAGAAATCAAGAAACTAGACCGTAAAAGGCTAATCAACCCAATTATTAAATGGGGCACCGAGCTGAACAGAGAATTCTCAACAGAAGAACTTCAAATGGCCAAAAGACACTTAAGGTCATGCTCAACTTCCTTAGCAATCAGGGAAATTCAAATCAAGACAACTTTAAGATACCATCTTACACCTGTCAGAATGGCTAAAATCAAAAACACCAATGATAGCCTTTGCTGGAGAGGTTGTGGAGTAAGGGGTACACTCATCCATTGCTGGTGGGAATGCAAACTTGTGCAACCACTTTGGAAAGCAGTGTGGCGGTTTCTCAGGAAATTCGGGATCAACCTACCCCTCGACCCAGCAATACCACTCTTGGGGATATACCCAAGAGATGCCCACTCATACTACAAAAGTATTTGTTCAACTATGTTCATAGCAGCATTGTTTGTAATAGCCAGAACCTGGAAACAACCTAGATGCCCATCATGGAAGAATGGATGAAGAAAGTATGGAATATATACATATTAGAGTACTGCTCAGCAGTAAAAAACAAGGACTTCTTGAATTTTGCATGCAAATGGACGGAAATAGAAAACACTATCCTGAGTGAGGTAAGTCAGACCCAAAAAGAGGAACATGGTACTCACTCATATTTGGTTTCTAGCCATAAATAAAGGACATTGAGCCTATAATTCGTGATCCTAGAGAAGCTAAATAAGAAGGAGAACCCAAAGAAAAACATATAGGCATCCTCCTGAATATTAACCTTCATCAGGCGATGAAAGGAGACAGAGACAGAGACCCACATGGGAGCACCAGACAGAAATCTCAAGGTCCAAATCAGGAGCAGAAGGAGAGAGAGCACGAGCAAGGAACTCAGGACCACGAGGGGTGCACCCACACACTGAGACAATGGGGATGTTCTATTGGGAACTCACCAAGACCAGCGGCCTGGGTATGAAAAAGCCTGGGATAAAACCGGACTCGCTGAATATAGCGGACAGTTAGGACTACTGAGAACTCAAGAACAATGGCAATGGGTTTTTGATCCTACTGCACGTGCTGGCTTTGGGGAAGCCTAGGCAGTTTGGATGCTCACCTTACTAGACCTGGATGGAGGTGGGAGGTCCTTGGATTTCCCACAGGGCAGGGAACCCTGATTGCTCTTTGGGCTTTCGAGGGAGGGGGACTTGATTGGGGGAGGGGATGGGAAATGGGAGGAGGTGGCAGGGAAGAGTCAGAAATCTTTAATAAATAAATACAAAAAAATTAATTTAACTAGAAAAAAAGAATAAGGGTAGATTATTGCGTCTACTTTTTAAAAAACAAACTCATTGAGGCTGAAGTGATAGCTCAGTGGTTAAAGTGCTTGTTACAGAAACATGAGGACCTGATTTTAGATCCCAGAACCCAAGATGTGAAGTCAGACACTGCAGTGTCGGGGCCATGAGAGTTACAGCAGGTATCTAATGGCATTCAGATGTCAGCCCACCAGATACATGGTCATTTGTTGGAGGATTAATCTCCCCTGTATGGCTGGTTCTTGGATATATAAGAAGCAGGGTGAGGAAGCCAGTAAGCAGCTTTCCTCCATGACCTCAGCTTCAGTTCCAGCCTCAGGTTCCTATCCTGATGTCCCTTCATGGTGGATTATAAACTGTAAGATAAATTAATCTTCTCTTCCCCACTTTACTTTTGGCCATGGGGTTTCATCACAGCAACAGAAAGCAAGCTAGTACTCATGGGAGGAGACAGCAATGTTAACAGAGTCAACAAGAACAGACCATCAGATGAGGAGGGACCTGAGTGTGACCAAGTCAGGATTTCTTGAGAACATCTGTCACCATGTCCTAAGGAACAAACACTAGAAGTTTGTTTCAGGAGTCGAAGTGAGTTGTTCTCTTTTATCTTTAATACGCAAGAGATAAAGTGCCCTGGAGCTGACAAGCTCCCCTTGATTCCTGAGATCAGACTTAGGTCATAAGATTAGGTTGAAAGGGTCAGCTCTGACTAAGTAAAGTCCTGCCTGGGCCACTCTAGCACCTGGTGGTGACCTGCATTCATATCCCTGCCTAAAGGATCCCTGCATGTGTCCCCAGAGCTCTCAGGCCTTATCTGAACTCCTAGCTGTCTCTGGACCACATTGCCTTTCACAAAACAGCCTCCCCATATATATCTGATGGCTCATCCCTGCTGGTCTTCTCATGAGGACTCAGGAACAGTGTGTCTCCGTTCCCTCCCAAGTCTGCTATTCCTTCCTGTATTTTCCCTCTCTATTTCCCCTACTTCTGTTTCATGTTTTCCATCAGATTAGCAGTACACAGACAAGAACACAGCCTCTGCCTCCTGAGTGCCTGAATTCTTGCTTTTGATTTGACCCCGTGAACTCGCCACACATGGTCTCTCTCAAGTTTAGCTTCCTCCTCTATAAACTGGGCATCTAAATGATGCCAATACTTCATACCAGCTGGGGTTGATTAAAATCAAAAGTAGACGCAAAGTAGTAAACTAGCAACATGGTTCCTTCTGCCATTGCCTGTTGTTCTTTCTGCTCTCATTTCCTTTCCTCTTCCTTTCTCTGTCTCAAAGAATCCGTGAGATCTCCCCACACCTCTACCACTTTCTTGCTGTGTGTCATCCTCTATCTATCTTTCTTCTGGAATACTTTTGCTCTCAAACAACATTTTTCGTGTTTGAATCCATCTCCTCTAACATCAAGTGTGAGACTGTGACATACTAAGAAATGGTAGTTTTGGATCTTCACTCCCTGTTCCTGGCCAGAGCTCCTCAAATCCTGGGTGAGTTCCCAAGTGATTAAGGTAAAAAGAGAATCAGTCTACCCTTGAGCATTGCCAGCCTTCCTCAATAACACCACAGTGCGTATTACAGAGGTAAAGTTTGGAAAGACATTAGGAATGGAGGGCTGACTGCCAGGGGAATAAACCATGAGTACAGCACGGAGCACTGACCTTCTACGTGAGAAGAGCTAGAATTTGACTTGATCGCATGGATAATAATGCAGGCATGGTGAAACTTTTATTAAAAATTCCAAGTGACTGTTTAGAGAGATTTGGGGTTGACAAACTCTGTCAGATTAGTGCTGGAAGAAGAGTGGTGTGCCCCGGGAAGGCAAAAGAGGGTTGTGTTCTTTTCCCATTTTACCTCAGGGTAACTCTCTTCTATGTGGTTATTGATAGTGTGCATATGTGTGCAGAGAACAGAGGATGACCTTGGGTGTCATTCCTCAGGTGGTAATGACATCTTTTAATAGAGATAGAATCTCTCTCTTGACTAAACCTCATCAATTTTCCTGAGCAGTGATCTCAAGGGAGCTGCCTGTCTTTGCCTCCCTGGTACAAGGATTACAGCACCTGCCCCTGTGCCTTGAGCTGTTTTTGACCCAAGTAAGGGGCTCAAACTCAAGCCCCTGTGCTTCTATATACTTTGACAACTGAGTCGTCTCCCTAATTTCCCTGAGCCTAGCTATTTTTGAGCTATAACTTTTCTAATAAATTTAATCAAACATTTCCTAGAGGCTCATGAGCTAAGCTAACAAGTTCTGTAGCTTAAGCACCACGGCAACCTCTGATTTATGCTGTTGACAAGAAGCATGGGTCACACCCATGTAACCAGCATCTGAAGTAGACTGCTGTCTTGTGGCACTGAAACCTTTATCTGAATTTAATTACATCCTAAGACACCTTGCTGATGTCTGGTGAGTTGGTTGATGTGGAAACCCCCAGTCATCACACATCTGGTGTCAGAGACCAGTGTATATAGAGGCAGGCACAAAACAGGAACATTTCTCTTATATGGCATGTCTTCTATGATGCCACCGTGGACCACACTGCTTCACTTTTCACTGTTTCATACTGGTCACCTCCTTTAGAGGCTTCTCTAAGTCACAATTATTTCTGAGTAGTCAGTCTCTTTCAATCTGTCTACTAACATTGGTTTCAGGTTCCTTCATCATAGGTAGCAGGCTGACTCTTTGTTATCATAGTTACTCCGGAAGGATCCTACATCCTCCTAGAGGCTGGTCAGTTTAGATCTCAAGCACCGCCTCCTTTCAGGATTCGTGTATTAGGGGTCTGTCCTACAGAATGGCACTAGTAGGTGTTGGTGGTACCTTTAATAGGCAGAGATGAGCTAAAGGAACTTAGATCACTAGAGGTGTAACCTTGAAGGACACAGGCACATCCTCTCTTTCCTTGCTTCCAAGTCACCAAGCCCTTGCTTTGATGTTTTGCCCTATCTTAAGAAATGAGGTCAAACCATTTGGGCTGAAGTCCCTAACATCATGAACTCAAATAAATTGACTTCCCAGGTATCCATTTTGTTTTTGAGTGAGTTTTACTATGAACAATTGGCTGGTCTCAAAATCACAATCCTCCTGCCTCAGAGTTTGTGTGTATATATTCTCCTGGGTAATTTGTCCCCGTACAGGAAAGCTAACACCAGGCTCATAGCCACTCCCCTTACTGCTTTCTCTGTTTTTCCCCAAATGGCATTCTGCAAAGGATCACCTTTATTTCCTAGTTTGTGTGGCGATAAAAAACTCTCTCCAGGTGTAATTACCTTGTTCAAGACTGAGCTGTGAGTTCAGGTCCCCTCTATCAATTTCTTCCAAATGCAGTTCATCATGTGGTAAGACTGAAGTGGGAGGGAGAGGGAAGAAGAAGAGGAAGCCATTAGAAATATTTAGCAGGGACAAGGGGCAGCATTTCTGCATTACACATTTAGGAATTTCCGGTCTCCTGATCACTTCAAGTTCAATGCGTCCTACATAATGAAGTTCACCCATCACCTCCTGGGACAGAGAAGACTCCACAAGGGAGACTTCCCATAGAGAAAGGAGACACTCAGGTCAAGACTAAAAATTTGAAGACACACTTGTGCTGTATTCATATTCCAGTGTTCAGAGGGCAGAGAAGGTAGATGTCAAAACAGAAAAAAAAAAAGGAATCTAAACATGGCTTCCAGGCTATCACAAGTATAAGAAGAAAGAGAGGCTTTCCTGGATGGAAGGTGTAGGATCTGACACATACCAAGGGGAAGCTTGATAATGGGCAGGCTTTAAAGACGGGCAAGATGGGGCTGAAGAACTGGCTCACACATTGTTGATTTCTATGAGCATGTGGTGCTAAGCTAAGATGGATCCTGCAACCCAGAGCTGGGCTGTCACTCAAGGTGGAGGTAGTGAACCTGATGGCCTCCTATGACAATATCATAAGGGCTCCACTGAAGAGACACAGCAGGGCTGACCTACTAGGACTGAGTTCTTCCTGTCCTCTTCTCCATAGCCTGATGCTGATGCGGCTCTCATTGTCTTCTCAGTCTAAATATCCAGCCTAGCAGACCTCTGGAGGGTGTCAATTGTAGCCCTTAGATGTAAGTGTTGTGATGATACATAACATGTTAATTTTTTAAACTGCTATGGCTCAGATTGTGCAACACTGTATATGACACATGGTAGATGTTTAATATTTGGTTATTGAGGGGAAATAAGGACTGTGATCTCCAAGGGTGATACTAAACTCAATTACCATTTTTAAATCTTTCAAAAATGCGTTCCAAATCAGGGTATGCCTCCATATTTTGCTTACAGAACAATAACCCTAGAGCCTCCAGGTCATGTTTCTCTTCCAGTTCTCCCAAGACTCTGTAGACCACTTGTTGTACAGGGATCAGGTTTCCATAGGATTCTTGACAATCCTTTAAAGATATTTAATGGAGAAAATTTAAGTGCAGACTTCCAGGTCACAGAAGAACCCTAGGAAACAATTATAGTTAGTGTACCTCAATCCACAACAGACATATCTTCTATTGAAAAGTTTTATATTTGCATGGCTACTTCATGAAACAAGTGCATATTTTCTCTGTGAAAATACTAGCTAGTGACTTTGAGTTCTAACCATCATTACTATGACATGTAAGAAGAACCACTTTCTATAACAAAGGAACACTAGGGCTAAGGGTTTACAATGAGCCTGGTGACATGGTTCAGTGGGTGATTGTATTTGCTGCTCCTGCAGAGGTCTTGGGTTCGATTCCCAGCACCCTCATGGTGTTCACAACCACCTGTAACTCCAGTGTCTGGGGATCTGGAGCTCTCTTCTGCCCTCCAGAGGCACCAGGAATACTGGTGGTGCATAGGCACACTTGCAGAGAAAACACTTGTATACATAAAATAAAAATGAATAGGTTCAAAAAATCACTCTAAAAGAGACCCTGTAGGTATTTTGTTCTTAGAGCTAGGGCTTAAAAATATATATTAATTAAAATAAAATGTGCTCAATGAAATATCATTAAGTCAGTTCAATAAAATTATTCAATAGTAAAGTAAAAACACTTTGAGTTTTAGTTTGTTAGTTTAGTTTCATTTTAATCGCATAACTCACATGGTGTGAAATGCATAAGACATTGCCCATCATTGGAGAACCCCTGTTCTGCTCTGGCTTGTCTTCAACAATACTCACCCTGATTCCAGAAGGGACCATGGGACACCTTCCCCTCAGATAGAAGCAGGACTATCTATCTCCTGAAGCCTCTGCTTCTCCTCCCCTTGATACAATGAGAGAACACTTCCAGAAATAGTTACACGACACATGTTGCTCCCCAGAAAGGCAGATTTTAAACCTGAGTCCAGAATTCTGATTTATAATTCATGAACTTATTATTGAACTAATGTCTCTACAAAATGTTATGAAAACTTTGTCAATAATTCTTTGTCAAAAATTGGGTCCAGGGCTGGAGAGCTGGCTCGTGGTTAAGAGCACGTGCTGCTCTTACAGAGGACCCAGGGTGATTCCCAGCACCCACATCAGGTGTCTCACAACTGCCTGTATCTCCTGTTCCAGGGAATTTGGAGCTCTTTACTGGACTCTGTAGGTACCAGCACCTATGTGAACACTCACACACACAAACACGAGCAGAGAGATGAGAACTTTGTTTTAAAAATAACTTCATCTTTTTTTTTTTTTTGAGTTTGCCTAGTTGGTTTTCTTTTTTTCTTTTTCTTTGTTTTGGCTTATTTTATATTTTATTGTTATCCATTTGTTTTATTTAAAAATAACTTCATCTTTTTATTTTTATTATTTTAAAGTACAATCTTAAATTAAACTGCCAATCATCCAGTTTGGTTCAAGATAGCAAAGTGTAACCTAATTTGAAGGTTTTTTTTTTTTTTTCTGGGTTAGGATGTAAGAAACTTCACTTACTTCATACTGTCTATAGCTGATGACATTGTTGTCACGGAGGACATCTAGAAAAGGAAATAAACCTTTTATTGCACCTGAAATTTCCAATTTAAGTACTCTGAAGAGCCGGAATATAGATTCTGTGTTCTCGTGTGCTGTGGACATCCTGGAGGGAAATACAATGTGGAAATGGTTATCAGAACTTGGACTACATGCTTGTGGAAATGAAAGAAAGACTATAAAGAACTAACAGACATTAGATAGGTGGTCTTGAGTTAACCCCAATAAATAGAATGAGTTAACTCCACTAAATATCCACATTCTGGGTTCAAATGAGAGAGAACCTGCCTTGTTATATAAGATGGAGAGAGGTGGACGAAGACTCCCAGCATCAACGTCTGACTTCTACACACATGTGCACATTCATACATGTGCATCTGCACACATAAGCCCTCCCACATGTGAATGTTTTTACATACATGCTTCTATACTGCACATCCACGCACATACAAAAATAAAGTGAAACATAATGTTAATTATGATTCAAAATTCCACGACTCCGTGTTCTCGTACATGTGAAAAGGAATATTCTAACCAGCTTATATGAAAATATTTCTAGTAGCATTATTAAGAGCAAAAGTTAGGAACAGTGGAAATGTACTTTCATTGGAGGGTGGAAACATAAACCTGAACAAGCCATACAATGAAATACTACTCCTCAATAAAAGGAAAAAAATGCTAATACATTCTGTGAGTGAATGGATCTCAAAAATATTTTTTTCTTAATAAAGGATGCCAAACACAGAAGGCCATATAATGGATAATTCTATATCTATAAAATGCCCAGAAATTCTCCATAGAGACAGATGTATGTGTGGTTGCATGGACCACGAATGGACTGTCCACAGCTGTGAGGGGTTCTTTGGGGGATGGGTAAGAACTAAGTTCCAAACTTGGACTGTGCTGCTGGTTGCATGACTCTGTAAAAAGTCATTGGAATGTATATTAAAATAGTAAATTATATTGCAAGTAAATTATACTCAATAAACTGTCAAAAATGTGAAAATGGATATCCAAAAAGATGAGCAGATCGTTAAAGGTGACAGGCTGCATTTTCTCCCCTCTGGAGCATGGGAAAAGGCAGATATTGTGAAGAACAAACACACATTGTATCCTAGCTGGTTTGGGTTTAAAAAATTAGTTTGTCTGTTTTGTTTTCTGTCAACTTGACACAAGCTAGTTATCTGAAAAGAGGAACCTCAGTTGAAAAAGAGAATGCCTCCTTCTGTACTGCCTGTAGGCAAGTATGTGGGGCATGCTCTTGATTGGTGATTGATGTGGGAAGGCCCAGTTTCCTGTGGGCATTGTCAACCCTAGACAGCTGGTCCTCCGGTATATAAGAAAGCAAAATGATCCAGCTAGTAAGTAGTGTTACTCCATAGTTTCTGCTCAGATTCCTGCCTCCAGGATCCTGTTCTGACTTCCTTTGGCGATGGACCGTGATGTGAATGTGTAGCCCAAAGAACCATTTCCTCCCCAGGTTGTTTTTGGTCATGGTGATATATCACTGCAATAGAAACCCTAACTAACACTGTATGACTGGATGTTCCCACGGTCTGAACAGGAATGTCAGGAGGTGACAAACAACATTTAGGTTAAAAAGATATCTTGTTGATGTCAGGATATCCATGAATTTAACACTCAGCACAGAACAACCAAGCAGGAACTATCCTACCATCCCTCCCCCAGGAACTGGAGGAGGAGGCTAAACCTTACCCATGGGCTGCAAAACTCACATCAGAAAAACAAGTAAGCAGTTTCACTTTGACTGCATTGCCCCTTGCTCAGGCTGGAACAGGTACCAAGGTGATGACCCTGGCTCTAATGTTTCTTTATAGTGGGGAAACAGAACCAAATGAGAGCATATGGCTCCCCAGAACTCTAAGATGCCCACGAGAGTGCTCCCTCTGTTTTCCTCAATGAAGAATACTGGTGGCTCAGCAGCAGACCAAAGAGAAACAAAGAACGGGGCAGGGATGGCAGACTGGGGATGGAGCTGTGCCTCCACTATCAGTGATATCCTATGGGAGATCCCAGTCTTCTGCTGTGATCTGCAAAGCCAGGCTGTGCCTCTATCTGTCCTGGGACCACACTGACCAGGTCTTCCTGGCCAGCGTTCCAGTCTGGACACAGAGACAGCTCACTCCTTAGGACAATATGCTGGCTCTGCCTCACAGCAAAGCATAACCTTGGCTCTACCCATCCAAGCAGCCCAATAGCAAGGCACACCATCTGGCTCAGAGCCTAACCTATGGCCTCACCTAGGGCAACAGTCAAACTGGCCATCTGCCTAACTCCAGAGCATAGCTTCTAACCTGGACAGACCAAGAATCCTAAATAGCGCTAGGTCCAGGCTCAGAAGAAGCCAGCCTGTGTCACAGACAATGTTTAACCAAACTGACACTTTCCTAACTTCAGAGGAAAGTTCTGGTACCTGTGACTAAGGAGCGTCTTAGTCTTGTTTATAAAACTCATGAACAGGAAACCAGTGCAGAAATCCTTCCACAGATGTCAGATATTTCTTCTCATCTCAACAGGGTGTTTCAAAGCAAGAATGCTTCAACATTTGCAAAACAGTAAATGGGATGCATCGCATTCATACAAGGCAAACATAAACCATGTTCTCCAGCAGATACCCAAAAGGTATTGGGCAAACTCAACATGCGTTCATGATAGAAATAAACCTCTCAAAATTCAGCCGAGAAGAACTGTACCTCAGTATATTAAGTATCATATATGGGGAAGCCATGATGTTATTTTCAAAAGCAAAAAGCTTAGAGCATTTACCTTTGTCAGTGGAATCACCCTCCTAGGACAGGACACTGAAGTGGAAATAAAAACGTGCAGCTTGCCATGGCTGCAGCTAGCCAGGGCCTTTCTTGCCTTTTTTTCTTCCTTGGATCAAAATCTGACAGGGAGAGCTCAGACCAACAGTGAGCCTGGGACATCTTCCTAGGTGAGGACATCTTCCTAGGTGACAAGTCCTGCCAGACAGGTAGGAGACCAGGACAGAGGGGACCCAGCTGCTGACTCTGAGACTCCGCTACTTGAATTTTCTCCCTGAGGTGACTTAGTGAAAGCAGAGAGAGGCAGAGGGACTGAGAACACTCAGATTTCATGAGATAACAAGAGAATAATGTCACAGAGGTCGCCAGGATTCCCTGATAGCTGTGACCAGAGTCTCCTGACAGCTGACAGTGCTGCACACAAGAACGTTATGACTGTGCGCATTATACCAATCTGGCCTTGAAAGTGGACAACTTACTCAGTTTTAAAAACCCCAGGTGTTCTCTCTCTGTCTCTCTGTATCTCTCTGTGTCTCCATCTATCATTGTCACTCTTTGACTCTCTCTCTCTCTCTCTCTCTCTCTCTCTCTCTCTCTCTCTCTCTCTCTCACCCCTCTCTTTCTCTTCTCTCTAACTACAATGCAGAACTTCTTCACATCCAGGAGTGTGGACTGATTGAAACTGTAGCCACTTAATCAAGACATGAAATCATCGATGTTGTCAGAGGGCAAAACTATAGAAGAAGAAAGACGCACCTGTTGATGAAACTACTACTTTCCATCTCCCAACTCATGCCAGGGACCTCGGAGGGTGAGCTCTGATCCAGTGATCTCCTCACAGGCTTTCAGACTGTGTGTTGTGGCCCACAGCTGAGTGCTGAAGTCAACCTTATATCTAAACTCTCCAGGGAGGGCTCCACCCTGATGGGGAAATGAAACTCAAAAGTGGGGAAAGAGAAAGCAAAACACTTCTTCTTTTTTATTTTATTTTATTTCTTTTTATTAAAAATTTCTGCCTCCTCCCTGCCTCCCATTTCCCTCCCCCTCCCTCCACTCCCCACTCCCCTCCCCCTTCCTCTCCAGTCCAAAGAGCAGCAAGGGTTCCCTGCTCTCTGGGCAGTCCATGGTCCTACCCCCTCCATCCAGGTCTAGGAAGGTGAGCATCCAAACAGGCTAGGCTCCCACAATGCCAGTACATGCAGTAGGATCAAAACCCAGTGCCATTGTCCTTGGCTTCTCAGCAGCCCTCATTGTCCACCGTATTCAGAGAGTCCGGTTTTATCCCATACTATTTCAGTCCCAGTCCAGCTGGCCTTTGTGAGCTCCCAATAGATCAGCCCCAACGTCTCAGTGGGTGGGTGCCCCACTCGCGGTCTTGACTTCCTTGCTCATGTTCTCCCTCCTTCTGTTCCTCATTTGGACCTTGGGAGCTCAGTATATTGCTCCAATGTGGGTCTCTGTCTCAATCTCCATCCATTGCCAGATGAAGGTTCTATGGTGATATGCAAGATATTTGTTAGTATGGCTATAGGATTGGGCCATTTCAGGCTCTCTCTCCTCAGCTACCCAAGGACCTAGTTGGGGACATCACTCTGGATGCCTGGGAACCCCTCTAGAGTCAAGGCTCTTGCCAACCCTAAAATGTATCCCTTAATTAAGATATTCGCTGCTCGCATATCCATCCTTCACTTATCCCAACCATCCCATTCCCCCAAGCTCTCCCAATCCTTCCCTTCTCACTTGTCTTTTCCCATCTACCCTTTCCCCCATCCCACCACGCCCCCCAGTTCCCAATTTTTGCCCAGCAATCTTCTCTACATCCAATATCCAGAAGGATAACTACATGTTTTTCTTTGGGTTCACCTTATTTAGCTTCTCTAATATCGTGAATTATAGGCTCAATGTCCTATGGGTAAAAACCAATGATGAATGAGTATATCCCATGTTCATCTTTTTGGGTCTGGGTTAGCTCACTCAGGATAGTGTTTTCTATTTCCATCCATTTGCATGCAAAATTCAAGAAGTCATTGTTTTTTACCGCTGAGTAGTTCTCTAATATGTATATATTCCACACTTTCTTCATCCATTCTTCCATGATGGGCATCTAGGTTGTTTCCAGGTTCTGGCTATTACAAATAATGCTGCTATGAACATAGTTGAACAAATACTTTTGTAGTATGATTGGGCATCTCTTGGGTATAATCCTAAGAGTGGTATTGCTGGGTCCAGGGGTAGGTTGATCCGGAATTTCCTGAGAAACCGCTACACTGATTTCCATAGTGCTTGCACAAGTTTGCATTCCCACCAGCAATGGATGAGTGTACCCCTTACTCCACATCCTCTCCAGCAAAGGCTATCATTGGTGTTTTTGATTTTAGCCATTCTGACAGGTGTAAGATGGTATCTCAAAGGTGTTTTGATTTTCATTTCCCTGATCGCTAAGGAGATTGAGCATGACCTTAAGTGTCTTTTCGCCATTTGAACTTCTTCTGTTAAGAATTCTCTGTTCAGCTCAGTGCCCCATTTTATAATTGGGTTGATTAGCCTTTTATGGTTTAGTTTCTTGAGTTCTTTATATATTTTGGAGATCAGACCTTTGTCAGTTGTGGGTTGGTGAAGATCTTCTCCCAGTCAGTAGGTTGCCTTTTTGTCTTAGTGACAGTGTCCTTTGCTTTACAGAAGCTTCTCAGTTTTAGTAGGCCCCATTTATTCAATGTTGCCCTTAATGTCTGTGCGGCTGGGGTTATACGTAGGAAGTGATCTCCTGTGCCCATTTGTTGTAGATACTTCCCACTTTCTTTTCTATCAGGTTCAGTGTGTTCAGACTGATATTGAGGTCTTTAATCCATTTGGACTTGAGTTTTGTATATGGTGATAGATATGGATCTATTTTCATTCTTCTGCAGGTTGACAACCAGTTCTGCCAGCACCAATTGTTAAAGATGTTCTCTTTCTTCCATTGTATACTTTTAGCTCCTTTTTCAAAAATCAGGTATTCATAGGTTTGTGGGTTAAAATCCAGGTCTTCTACTCAATTCCATTGATCTACTCCTCTGTTTTAATGTCAATACCAAGCTGTTTTCAATACTGTAGCTCTGTAATAGAGTTTGAAGTCAGGGATAATAATGCCTCCAGACGTTCCTTTATTGTATAAGATTGTTTTGGCTATCCTGGGCTTTTTGTTTTTCCATATAAAGTTGATTATTGTCCTCTCAAGAACTGTGAAGAATTTTAATGGGACTTTGATGGGGATTGCATTGAATCAATAGGTTGCTTTTGGGAGAATTGCCATTTTTACTATGTTGATCCTCCCAATCCAAGAGCAAGGGAGATTCTTCCATTGTTCTGGTTTCCTCTTCAATTTCTTTCATCAAAGACTTAAAGTTCTTGTCAAATAGATCTTTCACTTCCTTGGTCAGAGTTACCCCAAGATATTTTTGGCTATTTGTGGCTATCGTGAAAGGTGAGGCTTCTCTGATTTCCCTCTCTACATACTTATCCTTGGTGTATAGGAGGGCAACTGATTTTTTGGAGTTGATCTTGTATCCTGCCACATTACTAAAGGTGTTTATCAGATGTAGGAGTTCTTTGGTGGAGTTTTTGGGGTCGCTTATGTATAATATCATATCATCTGCAAATAACGAAAGTTTAACTTCTTCCTTTCCAATTCAAATCCCCTTGAACCCCGTATGTTGACTTATTGCTATTGCTAGAACATCAAGCACTATATTGAAGAGGTAAGGAGAGAGTGGACAGCCTTGTCGTGTTCCTGATTTTAGTGGGATGGCTTTGAGTTTCTCTCCATTTAATTTAATGTTAGCTGTCGGCTTGTTGTAAATAGCTTTTATTATATTTAGGTATGACCCTTGTATCCCTAATCTCTCCAAGACCTTTATCATAAAGGGATGTTGAATTTTGTTAAATGCTTTTTCAGCATCTAATGAAATGATCATACGGTTTTTTCTCTCAGTTTATTTATATGATGGATTACCTTGATAGATTTGCGTATGTTGAACCAGCCCTGCATCTCTGGGATGAAGCCTACTTGATCATAATGGATAATTTTCCTAATGGGTTCTTGGATTCAGTAGCAAAATACTTCTCCCCTCTTAAATTTGTGGCTGTAAGATACTCTCTCTTTTTTCTCTCCTGAAACCTGGTGGCATTGAGGAAGAGAAAGGGGAACTAGGGGATTGCAAAGGGGCACATATGCATCAAGCAGGGCCAGTTCCTAGTAGTGCCTTCTTTATGCAATGATGGGGAAAAAGAAACCCAAAGCAATAACAAAAACAAAACTCTCCTCAAACTCAAACTGTTTTCAGTTACCCCTGTGTCTAGGTAGTAGAATTTACCTGGGGCTTACTGTAATCCTTTTTTTGGTCTTGTCCATGGCTGAAGGAGATTTTGTTCAGGGGTTGTGAACAATCACCCCCCCCCCCCTTCTTTTTAGAGCAAGAAGCAAGCATTAGGCATTAACAAAAGAATTTTTACAATCTCGAGATAAAACCCACAACTTGCTTTTTAAACTATTTTCATTAACAGCATTTTTTTGTGTGTTTTTGTTTTTCAGTTAAACCAGTGTTTGTGTTTAGCCCATTGTTTCTCTCTGGCACATTCTGATGGTGTTTATGGATGCTCTGCACTTTCTTGATACTGTGTTTTGTTTAGCAGGGAAAGGTAGAGGACAATGCAAAACCAAAAAGGTCACATACATCCCATCACTTAAAGGTTAACTCAGCTCACATCACTTGCTGGTCATGAGTGACCTGTGGGTCATCCAAAATGTGACACTTTGTAGAGGGCTGCTTTAGCCTTGCAAATGGGTTTTAAAGCAAAGTAATCCGAGTTAACAGTAAAAACTTAAGATGCTGAGAAAACTGCTGACGATGTTCTCATTTCCCTAGGCTTACAACTTTATATTTCTTTATTTCCATATTCCTATTTCTGGAATCTACATTTTTATACTTCTATTATATTCATTGTATATGTAATGAGAATATGAATAAATATAGCATATATATAAGAGCATACAATGACTATAAGAAGACTACAAAAATACACATATTCTTATTCTTGGACTCTTTATACCCTCTTGAGGTATAACTAGAACCAAACCTTTGATTCATTGTGATTATTAAAGTTTCTGTTTTTCTTTTGTGTTTCTTGGGGAAATATAAAAATTGTTCCTAGGCTATCACCGTACCCCATTATCTGAATGACGTGGTGAATTCAGACTATACATGACAAATGACCTCAACTGGTAAGGACCAAACTTCCAGTTCTTGATTCTTGCAGGCAAGTTTAAAAGATACTGCTGTTGTCACTATAACTTGGCCTGGAAGCCAACCACGGGTACCCAGGGCCCTTCATTCTGCATGGTTTCACACTTCATGACGTGAGCATCCTTTAGGAGGTTCATGGATCATGGATGAGGGAACCATAGGCCAGAGATAAAATGTCTAGGGAACCTAGGGGATTTCCATTTTCTTTGGACAAAACTGTGTGGACTCAAGGGGACCCTAATATAGAAGTTGGTAAAGATGACCCTAAGGGAGACTTGGGTGAATTCAGTAACAGGTTCAGGGTACTTTTTGATGATCTCACATGAAAAATTCTTCCAACCTAATTTCTTCTCTTCAAATGTCACCATATCTATTTCTGAAACTGTTAAATCTTCTGAAGTGTTTTAAATCATCATTCAGTGAGAACTATGTGATTTGATTATACTTCATGTCACCCCATAAGACTTTAGGGTGACATAGGGTCTCACCTATCTTGACCTCTAGTGAAACAGGTTCTCCCTGGTGCTCACAAAGCAAATGTAGCTCTTTGGAAAGAAAGATGGGCTTCTCCAGGAGGT